TCTCTCCATCAACTGGCATCCTGGGATTTGAATTGAGTAAGATTTATAATTAAAAGGCTATATTAGGGCTACCCTCTTTTAACCAGCCTTTCTTTTTCTTAAAACTGAACCACTCCAGAGGTTAATCAAGTAAAAATGTCAAACAAAAGGTCCAAGGTCCAAGGGTCCAAAATCTTTTAATAATTGGTATACAACATGGTAACATAAAACAGCCAAAATGTTACAGGGGCCCAACAAAGTTCCCCTTCCTCAGGGCTCTGGTATTGTAAGTTGTAGGACTCAAATATGGTACAATATTTCATTTTGGTAAATATGGTACAATATAAAAAAAGAATTTTTTTTAATTAAAAAATAATTTGTAATTGTTTGCAAGTATGAAATCTACAGGACACCTGAAATTAGTGTTTCAGCAAAATGCCTTTTTGTGTACTTTTTTTTTTGCAATGAGTGAGAATATAATTGTTAAAAGTGTTTACTTCTCATGAATTAATACTTAATATGACGAAGCATTATTTTATCATTGTACGAATGGCTTCTTTTCCTACTCTTGCCAGCAGATGGCTCCCTGAAACACAGTTTATACCAGACTGGAGTTAGCCACATTATATGGAGCAATAACCTGTACAATAGTCTTTGTGAACTGTTACAGTAAAAAAAAAACCTCCTGTTCGTACTGTAAATTCTGCGAATCTCTGCAGTAATGTCAATATGCATTAAAAAAGTAAAGATAAAAAGCAAACAATGTAAAATTTTGCAATTGCTTAATTTATATTTGTTCATTTATATTTGTAATTGAATTTGTTGTGTCGGAGTTGGCTGCCATAACAACATGTAAGTGTACACATTGTCCTGATAACCAGAATGTGCAGGTTGCAAGTAGAATCTATGATGTGGTCAATTGCATGTCCAGTACTATCACTAAAAGCTTCCTTAATTTGCATTCCTTCAGTGTAGAGGCTTTTATAGGGGCAGAGGGATTGGATTTGAGTGCTGAGGTGGTCTTAAATATACGGAGGTAGAAGTCTGAGATTTATTTTCTACACCATTCACTCTTTGTAAGCCTTCATTGTGTTATTGCAGGGCATGGTTGTAGTAGTTGGATGATAAGCCTGTGATATTTGTTGGTTTGAGTTGTTCTATGTTCAGGAACAATGCACAATTCATATGAATCCTGGACAACTCTTGCATGTGTTCCAGACAATCCAGACCCAAGGGAGAGAGGAGGGGACACAGAATGAGGTTACTCAATGTACAATGTGGACACCAACCATGTTTGCGTACTGTTCTTGGTGGATATGCCCCTGATGTTTTAGTTCTGCATGTGGGGGGTAATGACAAAGCAGTATGACCCACAGGACAGCTACATCCAGACATTAATCTGAACTGGTACAACTTTGAAGGGAATTACTAGCTGTGGGTACAGTGTGGTCTGACCTGGTGGTGAGGAAACATTGGTGGTATGCTTGCTCTGTGGACTGGATGAACAGGGCCTAAATGAAGGTTAATAGTGAGATGGTAAGGTTTCTAACCAGGAATATGCAGATAGTAGTGAGCAGGGGTGGCTCAAGAAAAAAATTTGGGGGGTTGCTGTGCTGGTGCCGGAGAAATATGGGAGCTAAGTCTCCACATGGCCGGATCTTTTGTTATAATAAAAGTAGACATAACCTATCATCCAGTCATACTGGTCTAAAATATATAGAATGATCTCTACTCTTATGGGCACACATATCCCCCTTACTCCCCAAACAGCACTACTCAACGCTAAACCCACAAACATTTCACATTCTAAATTTAAACTGATGCTCCACGTCCTCTCTGCTGCCAAACATACCATAGCCTGTGCTTGGTTAACCAACAAAATCTCTTTTCAAGCCACTAAAAACAGAATTCATTGGTCCTTTTCACATGAAAAGCTCTCTGCGCGTCTCTCTGACCGCATGCCTCAGTTTGAAAAGCTATGGGAACCCTGGATGAAACATTTCTTACCACCAACCTTTGACACACGCCTCATGACCCTATAATAATCCCCACTTCATGCCTTTAAGCTGGCTCGTAGCGGACCTTGATCGAGTGTCACACCTATTCCCGCCTTTCTCCCCCTCTTTACTACCCCCCCCCACCCGATCTGTCTCCACTCTTATCTTTCCCCATCCTTGTATGTCCCCCACTACAGTGGCGGTAGCCCTGTGAGGGACAGTCCTCGCCTTAACTAAGTAATTACTGGGCGATTGCTATTAATATGTCATGTCTGCTGTCGCTACCACTGTTATATAGCAATGCCAATGTTTGCATCACTATGTTCGTACACACACGATGTTCGTGTCAGTGTATCGTTTGATAAGTACTTTACTGGAAAAATAAAAAACTTTTTGAAACTAAAAAAAAAAAGTAGACATAACATAATAAGTAATGCTTAGTCCGAAAATGAATGATGCAGTGTTATATAGAAACCATTCACAGTGTCATAAGAGCATAGGCTGTAGCCCCCTTTATCTATATTGAAGCATACATAGTGCAGTGGTCAGAATATAACATCTCTTACATTGCTGGTCATCAAGTGCAAAAATCAGTTCTATAGCTGGTGTCAGTGAACATAAAAATAATCTATAGTTGTTAACATTTGAAAAAAAATATGTGTGCCACCTTGAAGATTTAAGAAGAAAATGTGGTGTGTGATGTGTGCTGCTTGCTCCTTTCCAAAGAGTTGTGAAGAAAAACGTGGTCTCAAGACTTGGTGTATGACTTGTAGTAGGTCACCCTTTCCCTTTTGTTTTCCTATTCCTTACACAATATAGGGCCGCCAGGTATACTGAAGAGATTATGGGAGTAAAATAAGCCTCATTGTTGTTGTAAGTACCAGCAATGAAAACCCCCTGCAAGTGTCAGGGCTTGCAAAACCAACAGAAATAAACTCCAACAAGTGCCAGGGCCAGCAATGATAACCCCCAACAATAACCCCCTGCATGTGTCAGGGCCAGCATTGATAATCCTCCGCAGGTGTCAGGGCCAGCAATGATAATCCCCTGCAGGTATCAGGACTAGCAATGATAATGTCCAGCAAGTGTCAGGGCATGCAATTACCCCAGCAAGTGTAAAGGGTAGAACCCCCCCAGCACAAAAATAACCCCTGAACAATAATCAACCTCAGCATAATAATAACAGCACAAAAGTAGCCCCCGGCACAATAACAAACCCAGCAGAATAATAAACCTCAGCATAATAATGCCTACTGTCTACAGCAATGTTACCCCCAGTACAATAATAACCCTCAGTGGCAATACTAATGCCCGCTGTCTACAGCAATATTACCTCCAGGACAATAATAACCACCAGCAGCACTACTAATGCTTATTGACTCCAGCGATATTACAACCAGCCCAATAAGAACCCCCAGCACAATAATAATCCCAAGCAGCAAAATAACTACTTGCTTTCCCCAGCAATAATAACCCCAAGCAGCAATAACAGACCCCAGCATTAATAACACCCAGTAGTAATAATAACCCCCAGTAGCAATAATAGACCACTATTATTGGTATTCACTGGTTTTACTTACCTGAGCACCAGCTTCCACGAAGCTCCCTCTCTCCCACATTATGAGACTATTAATGTGCCAGGCAGAAGATCACTCTACTCAGCAAAGCAAGGCACTGGCATCATTTACAGGCAGTGTAATGCAGCAGAGGCTATTAGTAGAGGTTCTCTCGGGGTGCTTAAATACATTTTGGGGCTGCTAGGGCACACCCAAGCACCCCCCTGTCACTGGTATTGAGATACTTGGAGTCTGAGGATCAGGCTATTAGTATCTAGAGTAATGAGGTGGGCACAGATTTATTTAGTCCCGGTTTTAGGGGGTTTTTATAGGGGGTCTTTGTATTTTTCAGAAACTGCAAAATGCTGTATGGAGCCCTATTGTGATGACTAGACCTGACTGATCTCTGCATGTTTAAAAGCGTTTGATTTTAAGAGCAGAAAGGCTTAAAGAGGAACTTTACCTATATCTTTAAAATAACAACAAACACACCTTTAGTAATGTTTAGTAATGCCAATCTACAAACAGATACTTCTAGATAATTGCAGGCTTTGTATTTTTTGCATACCTTATTTCTATTTTCTTCCCAGTCTTCTGGCAGTGGCCATGTTAACTTGGGGAAGGTTACTAGCTCTCCCTTTACTTCCTGAAAATCTGGCACATGTGACTGGACATGTGACTAGCACATGTGACCATGCACATCATCTCAGGGGAGGAAAATGCCTTTCCCTGAGATCCTATGAGATTACAGATGAGATTTTCTAGCAATGCTCTGCTGATTTAACCTTCCCAGGATGCAACACTTGGGCACATGCATCATTGTGCCAGAACTGGACCAGGAAGTGGATGAACTCTATTTGTAAGTAAATGAAAAACAAGTTTGTTTAACTAATGAATGTAAGATGATTTTAAATCTGCATGCTGCTGTGATTTTTAGTGAAAGGGGGTAAATGTCTGCTTTAGGTTTGAGAAAAAGCTACAGAGATATATTGGAGAATTAAGGGGGGTGACTAACAACCAACTAAGGTTTTGTACAGTAACTAGGTTTGGAAGAAGACTGGCCACGTTTTGGGTAAGGTTAAACATGTCTTGAAGAAGTAAGGAGCATGCCTAAAATGAACAATATTATTTATATGGGTTTTTACTTTCAGCATTGATTCAAATCAAATAAGCTTTAATAAGCATTCATTTGTAAAAAAAAAAAAAAAAAGTACATTGAATTTTCCAACATATACAAGTAAACAAGTTGCTGCAAACTATAAAATATGAAAGAAAATCCTGTCATTGGTGATAATTCACTATGCAGAGCAGAGTAAATGATTTTAAAAACCATTATATGAAGATTTTGTTTACTTTAAGAGTTTACTTTATAGCTAAATCTTGCTTATAAAAACAATTACATGGACATAATATAAGATTGGACTTTGAACAATGCTTTTATTTATTTATTTATTACAAAGAATCTGGCCATCATGTCTTCATGACAAGTCTGGATATGTTTATTTTTCTAAAACACCACCATAATATCTTCTAAAGGCTTCCGCTTTAAGTCTGGCACAGTGGCACCCTTGCTTGGATAACCAACAGGTAGAAGCATGAGGAGCTTTTCATTTATAGGGCGTTCAAGCAGTACTCTGAGTCGAGGGCCACAGTTTAAAGGAGTAGTTGTTACAGTCACTAAGCCTGCATTCTGAAACAAAGAAGGTATAATTAATTATGAGCAACACATTATAATTTATTAATTTAAAATAAGTGTGTATCAAAAGATTTAAAGGTCTATTCACGAAAGGGTGAAGAGTGTGGAGAAGGCAGGAGAAGTGAACAATCTAGGACAAAATAGTCGATTTGGAAAAATTCACCAATTCAGCTCACTTTCCAGTTCAGCTATTTTGGCCTAGATTGTTCACTTCTCCTGCCTCCTCCAAACTCTTCACCCTTTTGTGAATAGACCCCTTAGTGTTTAGCCATAAGTTGTAGAGCTATGCTGAAGAAAATGCAATTTGAAAATTAATTTTCCTCTTTGACTAAGCCCATAATTGGGTGAAACATGTCAGAGTGAAGAGGATCCATGGCAGGATGTACTATAATAATCTCTTCAGCAAAGCTTGTGGTGTGCAACTGGACTTTTTTTCTGTAACTGGGAAAATGAATTTACTTTTTAAACTTTAAACAAAAATTTCCAAGTGTAGAATAACTTTTTTTTTTTAATCAGGAACAGGATTTAGACATTTTGTTATTTAATTTTGAGTGTGGGAATGCAGTAGGTTGTGATATATTCCGGACATCTTTTCTATCAGAATCTTTAATTTCAAACTGTTTTTGGCTGAGCCAATAGGGTAAGCATTTACTGGCCTTTTATGCCTTGGGAAAAAATCCTACTTCTGTAATTTCTAAACCACTAGATTATTCTTTATACTTGTACAAGGTAATGTCCAATAACTTTACACTTTCCTGTTGCTCATTAATCTAAGATGAGAGGGTTTCAAAGAAAATTCCACTGGCACTCCTAAAATTAGAACTGTACAATATGGCCTACTGAGATCTAAAATTAAATGGGGCACTACATCGTACCTTGCAGTGTTTTTTCTGCAGTTGTTCTTGGACTAGGGAAGACACACAACAAAGCTCTGGGAAAGGTTCACATTTAGGTCAACCATCAGTGGTTCATGAATAAACAACAGAAATCATGTCTCTTACATTTTTATTACACAACTTCTAGTTGTACGTTTCAGCTATCACAAGAGTGATTTCAGCTTATTTAACATGTTTGTGAACCTGAACTTTAAGGGTTTTCTTCCATTCCCTTAAATGCTTAGTTAAGTAGAGGTTATTCAAGTGTGTTGGTGTTTAGCCTCTTCATGATGAGAAGTCGTCGAAGCCTAGATGCCCAGACCAAATTTGGCAGCATCAGTATGCGTCAGTTAACTTGACAATATATCTATGACTGATTTTCATCATTGATCATTTTAAAATAACTAGTGTTACTATAGATATGAAGTGCAAATTTTATTCTACAAATCGTTTCCAGTAAAAAGCATGACAAAGATGTTTCCAAACTAAATAAAGGCTATTCTTTAAACTTTCCTATGCGTTTTTATTGAAATGTTTACACTACATAAAAACTAAAAAATGTAGTCAAGTAAAACAAAAAAAATAGTATGAAAAAAAATTGGCAAAAAAATAAAAGAACCTGGCCATTTAGTTCACTTTTTCGGCAGACCTCAAACAGCTCAGGGTCAGGTCAACCTGAACCGGAAGCTCACTCCTGTTAGCTACATGGTTGTGTTGCATGTGTGCTATGCAGAAAAAGACTAGTAGGTACCCCTAGGTCCTAAAAGCAGGCCTTCGCCTCCCCACCCACTTTCTCTGATTCCACTCCTACCCCCCTTTTCTCTAACAATTGGATATTTTTTATTAATAATACTTTTGTTGAGGAAACCCTCCCTGCACTTCCTGGCTTCTCACCTAGGACAGAATAAAGTTTGTGTTGTTCATAGCCTCCTGGAATACCCATGTAATGCATCCCAGGTTCCATCAGGGTTCAGCTGTCTCTTCCTGAAACTCATCAAAAAATGATAAGAGAGAAAAAATAGGAGGGGGGAGTGAAGTTCTTCTTAACAGCAATTTGCAAAAAAAGTCTATCAACAGACTCTTGCATGCATAAATGAATGCAGAGCGGGACTAGCCTTCACACTGGATTGTTACACCTACAGATGTCACTTTGACAGCCATTTGCTGTGCTGTTCACCAGGAATGCACAAAGAAGTGGTATGTAGCACTGACAGCTGGAGCCCTGTTGATCACATAAAGAGAGCCACACTCTTCCTGGGTAATATGTATTACTGAGCAGTCAGTTTAACAACTTTGTCTTGTACAAGGTAGGAGATAGCTAGGCAATGTGAAGTCAAGAAAGGCTCCCACCTTAGCATGACACCAGGGTGGGTGCATCTTCTGCCTCTGCCACATTCTAGCGCTGATGTATAGCGCTTATTTTGTCATGGTGTTTTAATATATATCCTGCAGGTGTTTATATTATAAGCTAATACATTGATAAAAAAAGTAAAAAAAATAAAATAAACTATAATTTTTTTATAATTGTTTAACCACTTCAAGACCAGGTGTTTAGACCCCCTTCCTGGCCAGGCCATTTTTCAGTATTCAGCGCTGCGATACTTTGACTGACGTTTATTCCGTCATGCAATGCTGTACTGAAATTAATTTTATACCATTTTTTGGGGACAGATATAGCTTTATTTTGGTGGTATTTAATCACCACTACGGGTTTTATTTTTTACTATAATTAGGAAAAATTACTGAAAATTTTGAAAAAAAAAGTTTTTTTTACATTATGTTAGGAAACACTTATTATTACGCAGTTTTTTGGTAAAATATAAAAGTCGGGGTCACGTCGGTTAAATAGACACCAAACATGTCAAGCTTCAAAATTGCGCGCACCAGCGACATCGCAGAAAACTACCATACCCAAAATTGGCCATAGGCGACGCTTTAAAAGCTTTTACCGCTCATCAGTTTAGTGTTATCAGTGATCGATGGCCCTAGACGTATTGCTCTCACTCCGACGTTCGCGGCCATATGTAACATGTGCGGCGTAATGGCCTTTTTTGCACGTATGCGCCCCCGACGCATGTTTGCATGTGTGTATGTATGGGTGGGGACTTTTACATTTTTTTATTTTTTTTTAATTATTTTTTATGTATAACTTTAAAAAAAATTTGGGGGGACTTTATTTTTTTTTCCTTTTTTTTTTTCACTAAACTTTATTGCTATCACATACGGGGGCTAATAAAATACCCCTATGTGATAGCAAAATATGTGACAGGTCCTCTTTATGGAGACATCAGGGGTCTCCAAGACCCCTAATGTCACCTAGGACACCCCAAAAGAAGCTGATGAAGCACAGATCTGCTCCATCAGCTTCTTTGCAGCTTCTGAAGCTGGAGAGTGACACAGGAATGCGGAAGTGATGTATTATACAACACTTCCGCATTCTTTCAGAGGAGAGGGGACCGGAGGGAGCTCGTGTAACGATGCACCGCTGCCTGTTTTTAAATTGCGGTCATTTCCCGCTCGCCCAGCGGCGCGCGCGAGGGGGCGTGTCTGAGTGGACGTCTAAAGACGCCCGCTCAGATCTAGAGAGCTCCGGGCCGGCCGTTTTTTTACTACGGCCAGCCCGGAGGTGGTTAAAATTCACTTTTTTATCCTGCTGGCTTCAGTTATCTTTGTGCCTCTTTCTGTGTCAGGTAGAGTGACAGCTAGAGTAAGCAAACCAATGTGACGTGACCCATTATTGGCTGTCATGGTGATCACATAATTGAGTAGCCAATCAGCATGGTTCCCAATGGTTTGTGTTAGTCTAGCACTGTAGTTCACAACATGGTCTAGAAACTAGAAGCACAGAAAGCTGTGTGCTCCTAGCTTCACAATAGAACGTGAAAGTGTTGGAAATACAGCAGCATATGCTGATATGTACTGAATATATTACTGACATTCTGATGTGTACCGATATGTCTTTTGAGCTGTGGATGGTGCTGTAGTGTGATGTTAATCTCATGCATGCCTATCTATGATACACAGGACGTTATATATATGTTTACTGCAAAATGCTGTATTCTGATGTAATAGTCTCCAAAGCAAGTCAATTTTAATTCAGCATTTCTCAAGATCTCAGTGCTTCATCTAAACACATAACCAATAGAAATAACAGTCTCTTGACATGGAAACCACGCTGAGGAATGTTAAACAGATTGCAGATGTCTAGTAGTTAAGCATTCACTGAGAAATCATGTTAACAGCAAAGCTTATCCTAATTCCCAGTGTTAACTCCAAATATAGCATGTCAAGCTACATGCTATAGGCAAATTTAGGCTTGTACCTTACAAGAAAGATGTAATGCTAATCTATGTAGTGAACAGAGCTAACAGTTATTGAAGTATGTTGGAGACCTTTTCAGTTCTTAGTGTATATGACAGCTATGTTCACCATAGAGTTCAGTGGAGGCTTTCACAGATGTGCTAATTTGTTTGGGTTTACCAGATGATAATCACATTTCCTTGACATGCCTACTTGTATAGGACTAGAATTAAAAAGCTATTGAATATGTACAGCACAGCCTGTAATACACTATTTCAATGAAAGTATTATGGTTTAATATACTCTACCTGAATGGCTGCTAGGAGTATTCCACAAGCAATTGACACACTGATCTCATTGTAATAATGAGTCTTCTTTCTATCACCAGAAAGTATTCCATATATTTGTTTAAAGATTAAGATCAGATAAGGAGCTGTGTCTAGATATTCCTTTATCCAGTTTTTTGCCCTTAGCTGCACTCCTTTACTACTGCAGATCTAATGCTGCTCAAAAACATTCTGATCCTTTTGGGTACAGACGAGAACCTCACCCCAGGATACAACACATGGTGTTTAAGCAACCAATCTCCAGAACCCTGTGTTGTCATATAGAGTCTAGGGGTGTTCTACAAACTGTGGTATTTCTCATAATAGTGGATTATCATTAACTGGTGGCATTTCATGGGAAAGAGCTGGGATAGGATGGGCAGAGAAGAGGAGCAAAAGGTAAGTATAAGCACCTGAGTATATGTAGCACAGAGCTTCAACAAGTAAACAACTTAAGTGCATATTCAAAGTCACTTAAGTGCATATTCAATGTTACAACACAATAAATACACAAAAAAAATACACCATTACATTAGTGGTAAATAATTTCAAGGCTTTTCTTCAATGTTAATGATAGATGAGACAGGGAGCTATGTTGTAAAACATTTTGTTTAATTTGAATCTGGAAAAAGTATAGGAAAGTTTGGTATTAAAGGTTGAAAGGTGGTAAATCTATAATAGACCCTACAAAGTGTCTAGCATATGCAGATGGTTCAGAGTTTGTTGGCAGGACAAAGTACTTCTTAATGTTTACTTAAATAATAAAAGGAAAATTGCCTAAAAAAAGGAAACCTAATGCATCCATCACATCTAAGGACCAGTAAGCTGCAATAAACTACATATGTTTTACATTTTAATGCATATGTCAAGGTAAAATAATAAAAAAAAACATAATTAGTACATCTCTGCAATACATGCACATTTCCCCATGTTTTTTCCTTTAAACATGCTACAAGTACAGAAAAAAAACAGTCTCAGAAATATAGGGTGCTACTACCTTCCATTTACAGCTGACAACAGTGTCTTGTAAGCGTTAAAATCCCAAACGTGCGGTGTCAGCACTGCTTTCATTTTCTGACTGATTACAAAGGGCACAGCCCTCTCCTTATCCCCTTGCCCCTCCTCCTCTACATAACTCCTCCTTGTGCACAGGAAGTTAGCTTATGAGGTTTCTGGTGGGATCCACAGGAATTTTTTGCATGAACCGATGTAACAAAACACTTTCAATGGTATAGTTAGCAGACGAAAAGGGAGTAAATAAGAGAAGTTTATTGTTAGGGTTTTCATACGCTTTAAGATTCAGATAGAGATGTGCGATTCGTTTCGTTCCACATTGAAATCCGGACGAATTTTCAGAAATTCGGATGCATCTGAATGTCAGAATTTCTGAAACTGTTCCTGCTGGTGTTTTGCTGCTCAGGTGTGAACAGGGGCCATTAAAAATCATGGGATTTCTTGTGTTGGATGTTTAAAAGCAATTTTCCAACTGCTCAAAAACACCTAGGTGTGAACCAGGCCTAAGGGGTAGTTGTTACCCTATACTCATTCACTAAATAGGAAATAAAATAGGAAATAATGTAACGCACAACACAGTGAAAAAGTCCTTTATTAGAAAAAAAAACACGTTTTTTGACAATTCCTTTATTTAGCATTAGTATCCAGAACTCCTGAATGCCATTTAGGTTTGGGAGCGGAGTTGTTATTATTCAGGAAAAGAGTTGTTATTATATGACAGGTCTGGTCCAGAATGTCAACATATGGGCAGAACATGTCATGTGACATCACGACTCGCTCTGCCGATTTGTTTACATTCAGGTCCAGTGTCATTTTGCGGTGGTGTTCGTCGGGATTGGACAGGTCGGCGGGCGTCTGTTTTTTTTCTTCTTTCGGCAGGACAGCAGCCATTGTGGATCTACATCACTGGATGACATAATTGACCTTAGGATAACATCGATGGGCACTTTTTTGTTTTTGTTTTTTTAATAGTCAAAAACTGTGTTGTGTTTTTTTTTCTAATAAAGGACCTTTTCACGGTGTTGTGTGTTTATTTACTATTTTATTTCCTATTTGGTGAATGGGTAGGGAAAGGTAGACCCAGATTCCTATAAGCCCCCCTGCCCACAGACCCCCCCAACCACTGGGCCAGGGTTGTGGGGAAGAGGCCCTTGTCCTCATCGACATTGGGACAAGGTGCTTTTCCAGGTGGTCCCCCTTGACAATGCACTCTCCCCATGTTGAGGGCAGGAGGGGGGGCGCAGGCTCGTCCCCCCTTTCTTGCTCTACCAGGCTGCTGTTCAGATTAAGGGTCTGGTAGCAATTTTAGGGGGGACCCCACACTTTTTTTTGTTGCGTTGAGGTCCCCTTTAAAATTCCTTCAGGTCTGGTATGACGTTTGAGGGTAACCCCGCCCTTTTGTTTTTGGCATTGGGGGTCCGCCCTAACATTCCTGTCAGACCTAAAGGTCTGTTTAAAAAAGTCAGTTTTTTTTTTTCTAATGTCACTTTGCTGCAATGAAAATTCCTTCATATATACTACCCACATTTTAACAAAAATTTCAGATTCATCTGAATCCCGAACCGAACTGACTTTCAGACCTAAGTCCCCAAAAAATAAATAACGAAAAATCCGAAATGAAACAAATTTTACTGGCTTAAATGTCTAGTTTCAGACCCACTAACTTGTTGTGGCCATTACGTGGAAGTCTACCTCTCATTGCTAGAGATTCCAGCTAATTTTACATTAGGAAGTAGCAGAACAATTGAGACATGCTACAGCAGGAGGAATAAAGCAGAGCATGAGGGGCATATATGTCTACTCTAAAATGAAGGGGAAGGGAGATGTCTGCCTATCCCCTGTACTATGATGGCCTATTACTAACTCACAGACTAAAAAAGCCTATGTGTGTAAAGTCAATTTTTTTTTCACTAAAGCCAGGTCATACAGGTATTATAAAAATATTGGAATATTTCTTCTTTCTTTGTAACCAAAAGTTTCCTGTTACTGCTCGTATATATTTTAATCCAAATTTCAATACAATAGTATATGTATATACCGTAATACATAAAAAATGTTTTAATCACTTTTCTACAATGTTTACCGTAATCTTTTCAGATCATGAACCCATTTATCTCCCATTCTTTTTCTGTAGTTTATCTCTTCCTCTTCTTCGATTATCTCACGAATCTTGTGCTTTACCTCTGGATCTTGAACAAGCACAAATGTCCAGGGCTCAGTGTGAGCCCCACTAGGAGACGTCCCTGGGAATTACATAGTATATAGGAAGATAAGTCTTATTTCAATTAATTGTTAGAGGTCATGATGACAATGCAATGCTAAAATGCATTAATTTCTTCTATTAGCTTGGGTTTTATTTACACCCAAGAACAAATTGTGATTTTAGCCACAATGTACCTAAAAATATTATAGTTTAATGTAAAAATAGTAAAAGTATAGACTATTTAAAGTGTTTTTCCACTTTTGCAGTTGAATTTGAGAAAAGCTCTCTATATGTTTGTTATCTGTTCCCATTCACACAACATACCGAAAAATAGTTTGTAAAAAAATATATCTTCCTTTTATATGCGTCTGTCTAGCTGGCCTTTGCAAGCTTCTCTCTCATTTACATAGTGCCAGGAAACTCTGTCTGTCCCCATAGAAAGACTAGCGACACTCTGCGCTTCCTCTCATTAACATACAATGTGTCTAGGTCTTTAACCCTTTGTTAGAACAGTCAGTGTTTAACCCCTTCATGACTGAGCTTGTTTTTAATTTCTGTTTGTAAATGACTGACACACTTTTGACAATTATGCTGTGTGATTCTTCCACGTCGGTAATATACTTTCTTACAAAGTGCACCCACGCATATTATATATTGGTTTTTAGAGGTCAGATAGGGCTATATATTTATATCACATATGTGTACCTAACGCCTCACTTAGGACTAATAAAATATATAAAAAAAGAGGAAATAAACGTAAAGAAAACACTTTTAAGTAATAGCCAATAGCAGCCTGGTTATTGCTCCCCATTGTTTACATTCAGCTGCCGACTGCGGAATCTAGCCGCGGCCGGCAGCAAGAGGCAAACAGATAATTTGTATTCTTTTGTGGACATGTCTATCAAGCGACCGCAAAAAATAATCAAGGCCTCAATTTATTTTGCTGGTTGCTTTAGAGTGCCAGTTGCTTGATATATGCATTCTCCAAGGTTGTGGTCTGACTAGCATTAACATCCATTGGTATCCTACAGTGTGTGTATACTTTCTTGCAACTTTTACTAAACTCAGTTATTGACCACCACATTTCCTTACTATATCATACCTGTTCTTTTAATAGTAAGTTTATTAAGAAATTTCTGGTACATCAATACATAGCTCAGGTAGCCAGTAAAATGAGACAGATGCAGACATGCTTCAAATTTAAATAAAGGATAGAATATTCTCCCTGGTATATAAACTGTATAAACTATATATAAAAAAGAGTTAACACTGACTAATCTAAATAACAAACAACATTTCTGTGCAGCTATACAAGACCAGCACTCTGAGCAATATCTGTCAATAGAGGAACTTTTTTTTAACCAATCATCATGTTTCTGTTGTTATCGTTTGTTACATAGTTACATAGTATTTGAGGTTGAATAAAGACATTAGTCCATCAAGTCCAACCTATTAGGATCTCATTCTAGGAGTACCTGTACCCCAGTATATTACCTGTACCCCTGTATATTACGGTCCCTTAAGAAATCGTCCAAAAGTTTCTTGAACAATTCCACATTATTTGCTGAAATCACCGCCTGTGGCAGTGAGTTCCAGACCCTAACTGATCTTACTGTGAAGAACCCCCTTCGCCCCTTGTGCTGGAATTTTTTTTCCACCAATTTTAGGTGATGGCCTCTAGTTTTTGTAACGGAGTTAATTTTAAACAGTTTATCGCTAATGTTGCTACCACCATTGAACATTTTGTACATGGAAATCATATCCCCCCTTAATCTCCTCACCTATAATGTGAACATGTTTAAATTTAGTAGCCTTGTCTCGTAGCTCTGGTCCTCCATACCCCTAATTAGTTTGGTTGCCCTCCGCTGGACTTTTTCCAACTCAAGGACATCTTTTCTTAGTACTGGTGACCAGAACTGGACCGCGTACTCCAGATGAGGTCGAACCAATGATCTATAAAGTGGCAAAATTATAGACTTGTCCCTGCAAATCATCCCCTTCTTAATAAATAAATTGTTGAATAACTACAAGTTGAGAACATGTGTTGGAGTGTTTTTAAGGTTGTACCACGGGCAAGAGTTTCAAACAATGGCCAGATGTACACATGACAATAATGCACTCTCCCAAAAATTTACCAAATTTCGAGGGACATCTTCTGGCCTAATAAGTAGGATGCACTGAAATTTCTGCCTCCAAAACATATGCCGAAAGTACAATTTTGCGGCTGAAATTGCAGTGAATCCCTAGTTTCTTTCCTGCCCGCTGAGTGCTGCTCTGTGTCCCCTCTGACACAGAGCAGCAACCAGCAGGGAGGAGAGAAACTGTTACGAGGCTGAGCGGGGTGGGTAGGAAAGCGCTATTAGTAGTGTCACAGGAGGCCGAATACTCCCCCCGCCCAGCCCACTCAGCCCACTCAGCCTCCTGTGACAGCTGAAGGAGTCAGGATGACGATCGGTTAAAAGCGCTCAACGATTAAAAAGGTTATGAAAAAAAAATTTGGTTTCGGGTTCACCCTGACAAATTTTAGAATTTCAGTTTTGGTCTTACAAACAACCGTGGTAAATGTACTTTTTCTTTGTAATGATAAAAAGCCAGCAGCATCCAAGCAACATGAAACGTTTGTATGCCCAACCTCCCCATGGGTTTCGTCACATGACTTCTTCCAAGGGTGCGGTTGTTTATAAGTGCGATTTTAATCTTTTAAAATAAAGTTTATGGAAAATACTACACAATAGGAGGTATTTATTTCTTCATTTGAGTGTATCTGGGATTACATTTGGAAACAGAAGGATTGGAGTTGCCTAATAATCCGGAGGATACAGGAGGAGTGGAGGAGATATATGATCAGAGTGATATATACCAAAGTGCATGTGGCTTATCCTATATAAGGTAGCCCTATACATCTGATTTGGAATTGGAGTATCTGAGTTGCCTAATAATCTGGAGGATACAGGAGGAGTGAAGGAGATATATGACGGTGGTGTGGATTGGCACAGTGATTTGTGAACATAGAAGACAGAAGTCACTGTTTTTATATCTTATATTTTATAGAATATATCATTTTGGACACAAAAGGATTATTACACATATTATATACTGTATGTGCAATCAGAATATTTTGAAATTTGACACTAATAATGGTGAATTGTTTGATATTATTGGTAAAATTTTGAGTTTTCACTTATGTGCATATACGCAAGTCCTTTTGTGGTTTATAATTTAATAGCGCAGTACAAGTATATCAATATTGCTTGCAGTAGTTTTTAACACTGTTGGCGCTGCAACTCTTTGATTGACAGCAGCAGAGGGCGGGTACAATAGCTAGTTTGCTATTGGCTATTGCAAATTGAAATAGTCAATAGGAATCTAGCAATGCATTCCTATGGCCAAACATCTTTTTTTTTGACGGTAGCAGAGCCGCCGGCCAATAGAAAACTGTTGGGCGGAGCTAGCTGTCATTGCTAGCCCCGCACAATCGTTTTCTATTTTAATTTTTCTACTTTTTAAACTGTTTTTCTATTCTGCTTGGTACCACAGAGGTACCGAGCAGAACAGCCGAGCCGAATGCCGCTCAGCGGCATTCGGCTATTCACTCACTGCTAATCGGCATCGATAAGAATAGACCGAACAGCAGCGAGTAGCCTATCGGAGGTTCGGCTTAGCCGATCCAGATGTTGGATCGGCTGAGTTGAACTCCTTCTTCACTTTGGGTCGGCCGAACATGCTGAGCATGTTTGGCTGACCCGAAGCCACCCGATGTACGGCTGATTTCAGCCGTACCAGCCTGAAGTGAATAGCCGAACAGCGTTCAGCTCACTTCGTTTTAGTTCGGTCATTCACTCGGCTGCCTGCGTATTTGATACAAGGAGAAGGGAATTGTAGTGCGGTTTCAAATAGTAAACATTTAGTTGAACTCTTGTTTACAAATATCATCCTGAAGAAGGAAAATAATTCTGCCTGTAGTGAGTAGAGTATAAGTAAAAAAGTAGATAATGTGCATTAAATAAACTGACTGGTACATAGATAAGTGTCTGACAAAACTTTTAATTATACTTTGAGGGAGAAGTCTCATTAGGACAATAATAATAGTTTGACAGAATGTAATTTAAAGCAAAACTCTGGGGGGAAATTCTTAACCCTTGCAGTGGGGTTGCAAGGTGCTCGTTTGTGTCTAAGGTCAAAAATAACAATGCTATACTCACCCGAACTTTGGATCTGGCCAGCTGTCACGGCGCCCCCTCCAGCCTGTCTTCTCCTCCGCTGCAGCGATGCTATGTCCGTAGGGTAGCCCCTGCTGCAAGGGTTAAAATCTTTTCCCCAGAGTTCTTTAATAATGGATAAGTTGGGACTCAGAGCATACATTTCCCTACCATTTTAGTTTAACTAGTGTGTCTGAGCATTTCTTTAAATAATACACACATTATTTGCCTAAAACATTTGTTCAATAAAAATGCTGCCTGGGAAAATAAAAGCAAAACAACCTGCTGCTCTGATGATGTTGTCAATGACTTCTCTTGGGACAGGTTCATTGCTGATAAGCCTCACAGATCTTCTTTGGTTAAGCATCTCATAAAATTGTTTTGACCTCTTCACCATATCCTGCTCATCATAATTCAGTGGGCTGAAGTGAACGTGTGAGACGTCTTCTTCATCAATGTCTTGACATTCATCTTTCCCTAGAAAAAAATAAAAACATTTTTAAAAATGGAGTACGCGGAACAAGAGCATAATTATAAATTAAACTGTATGTCTAACTATGTCTAAACAGAGAGGTTCAAGCAACAGAGAACACAATAGCTATTCGATGGTTTCTTGTTTTGTTCAGGTGCTTTAAAACCTGATTTATATAAGTTATTTTATTGTTTATCCGATTAACCGATTAATCGAACTTAATAATCGGCTAACTAATCGATTTTGAAAATAATCGTTAGCTGCAGCTCTAGAAAATTCTATACTTTACTGCAGTGTTGCAGTGACTCTTCCATTACTTATAATCATTTGTTATTGGACAGGACAGCGGAAGTGAGAAAAGCTAGCTTTATAAAAATGTTCCTCTTTCCCACCCACAAAAACAGCATTGCCCAATTGCAATTGTTTTATTTTCAATAAAATACTTTGTCAAAAGTGTCTGTGTGTTTATTTACTTTTTGTGAATGAGTAACAAGAGGCCCCCTCGACAAGGTACCCTCACAATATTGGTCATGTGGCCTGGTATGGTTCGGGATGGCGAGGGGGGCACACACTCGCTTCCCGCCCCTTTCCTGGCGAGCCAGGCTGCATGCCTGCATAAGGGTCTGGTATGGATGTTTTTTAGGGGGGGCATGCTGTTCCATCTTTTTGTTTTGTCATTTTGCCTGGGGTCCCACTCCAAATCCATACTAGACCCTTATCAAAGATAAGGGTCTGGTATGGATGTTTGGGCAGTCCCTGTGATGTTTTTTACTAACAGAAACCAAAGCCGCTAGGAAAATATAATTTAGTGGCAAATATTTTTTTGCTTTCTAAAATGTGGTGGGAGTACATCCTCCAGGTGCGCCATGTTACCAGCAGGATTAGGGCATACCCCAAGCATGTTTAATGGGATTGTGTGTTTTAATGTTGCCATTTAGGCATTTTTTGAAGAGCTGCTCCCAGCTGAACGTTTTTTTTGTAACATATTTTTTTGCATGGGTACATGCTCCCCATGGCAGTAGCCAGTCTACCAAGACCTTTGTTTGACAATCCCTTACTTATTAGCTTTGAAAATGGCCAGAACTGTATCTAAATATTTGCCCCATAGACTTCAATGAGGTTTGCAATAAAGTTTGCAGTCTGCAGATATTTTGATGGATTTGATGAACGAACTGCAAATTAAACTCAAGCACGTACGCTCATCAGTGATTATATATATTGTAACAAGGACACTCCACTGTAGTCCAGGTAAGTCAAATCAAATGCAGTTTATTTAGGGCAAACAGAAATATATCTTGCATCAGCAGCAACATAAGACAGTTCCCTTTATATGGCTCAGTAGATTCGCTTATGAGCCCTCACTCTGCTCTCTCAGCAGTGTGTCGTAGCGGTCCTAGGGTCACCGACCTTCCTGACCTCTCCCCTCGTGGGCACTCAAACACATCCCTCATGTGTCACTGGCTCTCTGTCTCCTCGGCTATCTACGGGGTGCCTCCAGCACACACAGCCACCTGGCTCCCCTCTGACGTCTGGGTGGAGTCCTCCTGACTCCTGAACACCTCTGTTCCTCTTCCCAGCTGGAGCCAAGAACACTAGCCAGCACCCTTTCCATATCATGCATATGTACTCAGTACTTGGTTTGGGCCCCTTTTGCAGAACTTACTGCAATTACTTTTGCACGATATTCTAATTATTTAAGTTTCACCTGTATATATATATATATATACTGCAACTTTTCATTGTTTAGTAGTACTGATTGTTTACATCACAGGAAAATCCCCTTATAAAAAAGTGAAAATAAATCAAAATATTATTTATGAAACAAAAGTTTTAATGTGCTTTGCTTCCCAAAGTTGGCCGAGCGGCTCAGTCGAGCCGAAGGCATATGCCCTTGGCTCGACTGAGCCCAGGTGAAATTCGAAGCTGGCCGAACGGCCGGCCACTGGCCAGCCAACAGCCCGTACTGAGCCCAGGTGAAATTCGAAGCTGGCCGAACGGCCGGCCACTGGCCAGCCAACAGCCTGCTTCTGACAGCTGGACGGAGCCAGCCGTCATCTCATGGCTGGCTCCGGCCACTTGCAGAAACAGATCAGCGTCCCTGGTTACCAGGTAACCAGGGACTCCGTTCTGTCATTACACTGAGAACCCGTCGGGAGCCGCAGTGATATCACAGCGGCCCCGCCGGGTTCTCATTGTCTAATGACAGATGGGAATACCTGGTTACCTGGTAAACAGAGACGCCGTTCTGTCATTACACTGAGAACCCGGCGGAGCCGCTGTAATATCATGGCGGTTCCGTCGGGTTCTCAGTGTGTAATGACCGATGGGCGTCCCTGGTTACCAAGTAACCAGGGACGCCCATCGGTCATTACACACTGAGAACCCGACGGAACCGCCATGATATTACAGCGGCTCCGCCGGGTTCTCAGTGTAATGACAGAACGGAGTCCCTGGTTACCTGGTAACCAGGGACGCTGATCTGTCAGTACCATGAGAACTCAGCAGAGCCGGCTTTTCATACCACCGCCGGCTCTGACAAGCTCTCATTGTAATGACAGCTGGCCCCGGCCAATACAAAACAGTTGGACGAAGCTAGCTGTCACTGCTAGCTCTACCCAATCTATTCTGCTCGGTACCACAGAAGGTACTGGGCAAAATAGCTGAGGCGAATGCCGCTCGGCATATAAATATATATACTGCACCCGAACAAATGTGCCTGCGGTCCAGGTGCGGCCGATCGCACTAAGGGCGCCCCCCTTGTGCCACTGAATGCAGGAGTTTTTTTGTTGGTAGATCTCATTGAGCTCGTCATTTCAAAAGTAGATCTCCAGATGAAAAATTGTGGGCGCCCTTGCACTAAAGCATTTACATATTCTAAACAAGCACTAAAGATACTTTAAAGTGTATGAACACTTTAGCAGGCAAAATTAAGAAAACCCCACCATATGTTTGTTATGTGTTCACACAGCATCCTAAAAAATAATTTTTTTTAAATCCTACCTTTTAGATATCTCTATTTAGGTCTTTGCAGGTTAATCTCTTAGAGGGTTATTCACAAAGCTGCCGAAGGATCTAGCGGTAGCTAGCTTCGGTCCCAGGACCCCTTCGGTTCAGTGGAGTAGGGTACAGCTCCTGAAGTTGGCCGAGCGGCTCAGTCGAGCCAAAGGCATATGCTTCGGCTCGACTGATAAAAAAATAATTAAATAAATAACAATTAAAAAAAATAAGAAGAAATAATTAAATAAAAATAAAGAAACAGTAAAAAAGAATGTAAACTATTGGCGTATTGCAGAACCTGGCCTTGGGGCGGCAGGGAGAGTAAATCTGGCCCTGCACACAGCCGAAGCGGGGAGTACAGTCTGCCGAAGCAGACTGTTCTCTCCGCAATATGTAAACAAATAAATAAAAACAGTGTGGGGTCCTCCTCCCAAATGTTATAAATATCAGTTTGACAGCTGCCGCAGGCCGCCGTCAGAGTAAAGAGATTAAAAAAAAACCAAATAGCATAGGAATGAACAGCTAGGCTGCTATTGGCCATTTCAAATTGGAATAGCCAATAGTAGGCTGGCTATTGCACCTGCCTACTGCGGCTGTCAATCAGCAGAGGTGGACCTGATGGAGAACTTCAGGTCCACCTCTGCTGATTGACAGCAGAATGCCAAGTTCTCAGTGTGTAATGACAGTTCAGCGTCCCCTGGTTACCAGGTAACCAGGGGATGCTGAACTGTCATTACCAGGGACGTGCGGTCAGGGAGGCAACCCGTCCTTTACACTAGCTGGGGGACTGGTTGGGTGCAGGGCTTTGACGGGCGGGGCTGGGGAATGCCACAACCCGAGCAGGAGGTACCGCACGTCACTGGTCATTACAATGAGAGCTTAGTGGAGCCGGCTTTGATATCCCCGCCGGCTCCACCGAGTTCTAATTGTAATGACAGCTGCTCCCGCCCAATCGTTTTCTTTTTTTTAAACTTTTTAACTGTTTTTTTTTACCACAGAGGTACCGAACAGAATAGCCGAGGCAAAAGCCGCTGGGCGGCATTCGGCTATTCACTCACTGCTGTCCGGCCCCTATGAGAATAGGCCGAACAGCAGCGAGTAGCCTACCAGATGTTGGATCGGCTGAGTCAAACTCCTTCTGCACTTCGAGTCGGCTGAACATGCTGAGCATGTTCGGCCGACCCGAAGCAAGCCGATGTACGGCTGATTTAAGTCAGTGTACGGCTGAAATCAGCCGTACAAGCCTGAAGTGAATAGCTGAACAGCCTGAAGCAAATAGCTGAAGTCACTTCACTTCAAATCGGTTATTCACAAGGCTGCCTTTGGCAGCTTTGTGAATAACCCTCTTAGTTTTTCAGTAGCAGGGAACTCTGACTGCCCTAGTAGAAAGCAGTCTGAAATTCCTCTCATTAACATACAATGATAGGCCTTTAACCTTTTCCTAGGACAGACAGTGTTCAAATCTAGATTTCAACTGATAATGAGATATGCTAGCACAGTGCAGACAGGGTTAATAGTCATAAATTAAAAAAAACCTCTCCAACCCCCTTGCATTCCAGTATTCCAGCATTCCTAGGAAAGCTTTTCTATGAGCATTAAGCAAGTTTTATGCAAGTAGCAATTTATTTTATTTAAGTTAAAGGGCTAGTTAGTTGCATTTGCCCTCCATGTGAAAGGTTACAGTCTTTCCCTGTTGTGGCCTGAGTACTGCCACCATTATCTGTTTGTTGCCCATAGATTTCCCTGTTTGCCAGTGTGCTGCCAACATATTGTCCTAATTGCCTCAGTCCCGCCCACACATTTCCATGATTGCCACTGCGCCGCCAACACAAAGCCAAAAGGCTTTGCCCATGCCATTCTCAAAGCAGTTAATTTGGTGTTGATTTACTAAAGGCAAATAGGCTGTTCACTTTGCAAGGGAATTTGCACTTAGCAGGGGAAGTTTGCCCTTATTTTAGTTAATGAGGGGAAGCTCTGCTGACTTCCATCACCAATCATGTTCAAGAAAAAATGCTGTTTTTTTTAATTTTCCTTGTGTATTGGGTATTATTTACAAAGTGAAGTTACACTACATACACTAAGCTAAGGGGAACATGCCCTGTAAAGTGCACATTTCCTTGCAAAGTGAACAGCCTATTTGTCTTTAGTAAATCAACCCCTATATCTTGGAAGGATTTTACCATGAAGCAGGAAAGCAGTTGCTATGTATTGTGAAGTTACAGTGTGTGGATGTAAGTGTTTCATTTTATTGTTTGATTTTATATGCAGCTTCTATGCACATGAACCCACATCTAATTATACACAAGACCAAGATAATACACTCGATTTACAATAAACATATGCACATAATTATTACAATTGAAGAAGCAGGAACCAGGGAATTTCTAGACTGCATATTCTTTAAAGAGGTGCATGCATTTTCTCAAAAGTAGGGTATGTATTATTTTGAATACATAATTATACACGTCTTACTATATTAGATGTATCAAATTATCAAAATTAGATATTAGGTTTTTTAAAGTGCACAATTACCACATCGCATTTACTGCATGTGTTTTATAAATGTCTCCCATTATATTTTCACATTCCGAAAGCAATTGCGCTTTAAAGATATCTTCATTACTAAGGTCTATGGGATCCAATTTATATAGCAGACAGAATACAGAAAGGTTTCAGGGGAGATAGAATCCAATCTTAACAACATGATGTAGAAACAAACTGATTTTGTAGGACAAAGCATCTGTTCCACCGGGTTTTGTGCTGTTGTACCTAATTAAGGAAAAAAAGCATACTTGTATTTTGTTTACCAGCTTCGAGTCATGACACTTTGTTCTAGAAAACTTCACCTCAGTAGCTACTTTGTATTTTTCTGTTCTCTTTTCATTTTTCTCTATAACTTGACTATTGAGCTACTTTGTTTTAAAGGGACGCTGTGGCTAACCGTAACTGAGTAGATGGCCCATCAGAAACTATGGTCACGTGAGCCATTCCCAATTGCATCGTTATCCTCTGGTATCTCCTGCAGTGTTCTCAACTCAACCAAGAGTTGAATTCAGCACCCTTACTCTATCAATCAGTGACAACTCATACAGAGAATTTAATGCATCCTTATTCATCACATTGCTTGCAGAATTTGGGCTCTGTATAGGCACATTGTTATGCTTGGTAAATTGAAAGAGCAGCCATACCATTGCTTATCTTGGGAAGGATGGAAGACCTGGCCAGGAGACGTTGTTTTCAACATGCCTAATTGATTGGTCTCCCAAAAACAGTGTTATAGACATACACAGGAGACAGTTGTCCAATCTGACTGAAAATAACTGCGTTGGGTGACTAAAATTTCTTCTCTATAGTCAGCTTTAAGCAGAACACTAGCCAAAATTAACAAGACATAAATAACTAGTCCATTAAAAGATATAATAACCAGCTTTTACTGCAATATTCAACATCAAGAGATGTCCCTGGCAGTATTGTTTTTTCTTAGTCTGATGACGAGCATCATTCAACTTTCTTTTCCTGATGACAAGGTCATCCTAGACATGCCCCAGCCTATGACTGGATAGCAAAAGGAGAAGCAGCACAGTGATAAGCTCATATCTCTGTCACTGTGCTGTCTCATTCTATTAGCATGCTTGTCATGTCAACACATGATTGGCTCTTTGTGCTACTACTTTGCCTCCAAATTCAACTCTGCTATAGAAAGACTTACACTGCTTGCATTTAAAAGATACATTTGGATAACTACCATTATTTTATTGTGTATGATCAGCCAAAACTTCACTTCATGTTAGATGGAATATGAAAGGGTTAGAACCCCCGTCAAGTTTCTACTGCTATTAAGGGCTCTGTTAAAGTGATATATCCTTATTTTTTATCCTGCCAGTGACCTGGAAAAGATGGAAGCGCTGGAAACAAAGAGGAGTGCTGACACTGCAGTGCTTGAGTGGATGTTTCGCAAAGGTAAGTCAGCCATAATGTACTAATAAGCTGTGCATATTAGCACATTACAGCAAACAGCTCTTGGAGGCCCAAAATGTATCTTTTATGGTGGCAATGTACTTCCACTTTAAACAGATTAGTTTGTTTCTTTTGCTGGCTTGCTTGAAAATGTGTTGGGGATCTCTTTTGCACTGATACTCTCACAAACAGTCTGTGGCTCACCTTTATATTAGGACTTTAGACTAAAATAATTTAGCATCAATAATTTCCCAATAAGGAGTTGTTCAAACAAAAGTCAATCATGCCGTCCAGCGATGTCCACGCCGCCGACTCATCAAAATAAAAAAAACCCACGCCTGCCGACCTGTTTGCACCCAACAAACTGCCGCCGCAAACTGACCCATTTAACAGTCAGCCAAATATAAACAAATAGATGGATCTAGCGGTGACATCACCACCGGCTCCGCCTATTTGTTGACATTGTGTCGGGAGCTGTCAAATGAGTCTTTTCAGGTCCCGGCCGAATTAAAATAAATGATTGGAGCCGGCCGTGACGTCACGGCTGGCTCTGCCCATTTGTTGTCATGCAATGACAAGTCACTGTCCTCAAATGGCCTGAGGACAGTGGGCTGTCTTTGTATGAAAACAAATGGGCGGAGCCAGCCGTGAGTCGAACGGGTTCCTCACTTCACCTCAGCTGAACTGAAGGGAGCCGAAGCCAGCCAATGTACAGCTGAAATTAGCCGTATTCGGCTGAAGTGAATAGCCGAATGGGGTTTGGCTCCCTTAACTTCAGCTCGGTTATTCATTTGGCTGCCTTCGGCAGCTTAGTGAATAACCCCTATAAATGGCACATGTAAAAATTGTATTTAAAACTGTTTATTAAAGAACATTAAAAAGCACATACAAGACAAGTACACATGTATTGTGCACATTCTAACATATACTGTATATATGCAAAATCACATCTAAGCAAACCCTGCCTTCTAAAGCTCAGATATTTTGGACCCAGTCAGACCTAGCCTCTATGAGGTAATTTTCGTCATGGGCATTCATGCCAGCAAGCTGCGCCCTACATGTTATGTCATCAAACGCTTCATGGGGGACACATAGCTGAATGCAAGTGCTATGCTTGATTGCAGAATGTTTACTATGACAGTACTATGACAACAAAGGATCTATCCCAGCACAGCGACTGCCGATCACACTAACATCAATAACATATTACTCCCATGTCTTAGTCACTCAATGTAGCAAACAAACAACTTACCCTAGACAATTTAATAAATAAATATAAATAACAATGTGGCATATAATAAATCAAACAAATTCCATGAGATTAATAAAAGTAACCAATAGAGAATAGCAAATATAATAGACATCTCCAAAAATAAATAATAAACATGTAACTATCTCCATAAAAAAATCATCAACCCCTAAATAAATATAATAAAAAATGGCTTTTATTAAATCGTAATCAATAGACGGTAGCATATATAAATACCAAGAATTATTAAATACAAAAAAAATGTATACATAATAAACATTTCAGATAATAAATAAAATATATGTCAGGTAACCGAATCTAAGGATTGATAATAAAACAGCTAAGGTCAAATTCCACCTTTAACTCATCAGGGACCACGGTTTTCTCAATAAGCTGGAACGTAATACTGTTTGCAGACCTTTTCTACCTTCCACAATTGCAGGCCACTAGGGTGTTTATTATGAGATATAGAAAATGTGTTATAGCATTATTGTTTTTGTAGCCTCTTTTGATGCGTCCTACATATTGTAGCTTGCAGGGACATTACAACATAATGTATATATAATATACTACTTTGTTATCTTAGGTAATAGCTAATCAAAAGGCCCATAGCAGAAATGTAAACATTGCTTTGGTCCATAAGGGGTAATCAGGTGCAAGAACGAGTTAAACATTTACCATCAGCAAAGTTATTAGTTCATAACAAACACATAATCTGTGTGCTATTTACCATCCTCCTCAGCTGGAAGTTCTGTGCCGTCTTGAAGGTCTTCATCCACCCACGGACGTGGTTCTGCTTTACTCTTTTCTTTCTGTTTTTTTTCTTTCTCATTGTCTCGTTTGTTTTGCAGAATGATTACAATTAAAAGACAGATGACAGCAATAAAAACTGGGGATAAAAATGAAAATATAGCCATGGCTTTAATTTCCCACACACAAATGTATTTAGTTTCTAAATCGTTTTGCTTGAAAGGCAGAGATAAGAGGAAAGGGGAGGTTTTCTACTCTGTAAAGGGCAGCTGAGATTTCACAACAACCTAGTCTAGTGGAGTTTGTGCCATTGAACTCTTTTATGGAACACTGATAAAAGCTTAAGTGGTTTGTGTTGTATTAAACTTTCTAAAAGGAAATTGTCTCAAACAGAAAGAAATCTCAGTTCCAGACAATTTTCTTAGATTTTTTTTTTTTTAGATAAGCACATGGTGATGTTCCCAGGCATCTGACAGGCCGGCTCCAACCAAAAAAATTAGAGAACGCTTCCTAGCAACCTTCCGGCATAGTAACATGCTGCCTAGCAACACTGCAAGGCAGCCTGGCTTCCTGACCAATCAGGAAGCCGGGGGGCACGTCATGGCCTGTCTCCCAGCTTCCTCATTGGCCGGCGAAGCTGGCTTCACACTGCTTGGCAACACTGTGAGGCAGTCTGGCTTCCTGATCAATCAAGAAGGCGGGCGGCGGATCATGACCTGCCGCCCGACTTCCTCCAAAAAACTAGCTGCAACCACGGCTCATTCCATCTTCTTTAGTCAGACAAAAACACATAGGGTGTGGGGGGTTTGGTGTGAACCTGGTTTGCCAGAGTTTGCCTATGCTCGAGGAAGACTATGACTGACACACAGTGACAACGCAGCTATATATCACAAAAAGCAGAGAGTACCCCTGTCGCAACTGATCGGGCTGGGAGGGAGGGGTGTCAGTCACAGTTTTACGCTGGGTGAACTCTAGCGAACTAGGGTGGACCGGAAAATGTTGAAGCACCCCTGAGGAAGTTAGAAGGCACCCTGGTTGAGAAAGATTAGGCTAGAAAACACATGAGAGGCCCTTTTATGCATTCATTCATATAAAAAAATCCTAATGTTGGCAATAATTACTATTACAATGTATTTGATTTGTTACCTCCAATGTGCAGTCACAGAACTTTCTGCTATAGTGGCATAGGTTTTAACAGAGATTGCCAAAACTGATGCTTTTCTGCTGCTGCCTAGTTGGCAATACAACAGAAAACATAAATAAAGTACATCTATTCTGTAATGGTATCATAATTAAAAGATGTATTTTCAATTATGCTGTAAGCTAAGACATTAATGTCACTCGTCCTGTGTAATGGCTAAATAGCTAGAAAGAATAATAGACCTTCTACTAAAATAGTTCATGTTTTATTACCCTGAAAAAAACCCTCCAGTGTGCGTTTTTCTTGTACAGTCGAAGCAATCACTGTTATTTCCTTTGTGAACAAGATCAAAACAGCAAAGCATTTTGCAGATGCTTCGTACTTCCAAGCGTACTTTGTCCTGTACGAGCACTTTTAATTTCTAACTGGTAGCAGTTGGACTTTCATCCGTATAAAATGTGCCAGTTTCATATTATATTAATGCCAATACAAACCTAATGAAGATAATCATCCAGAACTTTGAAAATATATCAACCTATAAAATGACAAATAAACTTAATTAATACTTCAGTGTAATTCTAAAACATTTGACACAAAAGGGCCCCACACTGCTTTGCAGAATTATGTCACTGAACAATGTTCACATGGTTCTCTTCAGACTGTTACACACACTGCCAACTGCTCCAGGGCTCCAGGGTCCTACAAACCCCATGCATTATCCCAGTGCTGAAATGAGAATTTCTGCAACTCACACTGGAAATATGCCAATACCGTTCATTGGAAAGGTCTCCTGCCCTATGTTACCTGCATAGCTCTAGTGTCCAAGTCAGTTAGGTAGGGTCCAAGCAGTGGTGTGCGGTACAGAGCATCTCCTCAGGTAAGTGGCCACTGAACATCAATGCCAGAACATTCTTCCTCCCACCAACACAAACACTGGGACATTCTTTTTCGCACAGTCCACCATCAAAGGACCCCTTTTCCTTCCACTTACCACTAAAGTGGAGCATTTTCCTCTCCCATTGATGCTGTGTTGAGTACTCCTATTCTCTGCACTCTGTACACCGTGCTGTACCTTACATACTCCAGACCTATGTACGCTCTGAACTGCTCTTAAAAAAATTAACTAGCATTATGAATGGAGTGCATAAATTAAAATTTCACATCACACATGAATCTGGATGGGAAAATCTCTTGTGGATTGCACTGTCTGGAAGTCATGATGTAAGGAGGTTGGCTTTTCAACAGTTTGAGTTTTGATACTGATCATACATTGCCAAGGTTTACAGTGGTAGATTGACCATTATAAGACCCTGCTAATAAAACTGGAGTGGTTGATGCTACATACTTCATTCTTTCACTCATTCATACTTCATTCATATGTTTTTAGGAATAAATTGGCAGCATATACAGCAAATATACTGTATATAAGTAAATATTAAGGATTTTTGACAATTTATACTGAGGGTGTAAGGTTGATATATTTTTACGTTCAATGGTTTAAGTTAATGGTGATTAGAGTTTTACTGGCTTTTTTGTAGTATTAGAGGTCTATAACACACATCCTGAATGGAATATTACTACAGGCAACATCCTAAGCTAGTTACATTACCAGTTTTATATTACAATGTTTGTGCTGCAATATTACAGATAAAAGCAGATTCATAAGTAAAAGTTCTTCATTCAGTATCCATATCTAGTTTGTGGGTTTTGTTTATGGTAAGGTTTAGTAGTGTGCAGGTTTTTATGTTATCCAACAAGTTGGACAATCTATTTGAGTAAATCGTAAAGCATGTTCTCTTCTCATAATATTTTCTCAATAACCTGTGTAAAAAAAATGTAATCTGAGTACACTGAAATGGTTCCTCAGCTTTTGGTGCTCAGCATGTGGTACTAAAATGGGTGCATGCCAGATCTTCCAATTCAATGGAAGAATCTGACCAGTTTCAACTGTTGAGGTTCAAGAATAATATTGCTACAGTTTTCTTCTGACAATAATCATACTTATACTCTGTTCTCCATCTCTAAGCTGTTTCTCACCCATCTTTTTACAGTATAAAGGTAACAAAAGAGGGACAGTGAGCAAAAGATTGCGTGCAAATATTCTAAATCACTAACACCTATTAGTGACAAACGTCACCAGAGGCCATCTGTGAATACATTTTTTTACAATTCTTTTTTTTTAAATCAGCAGCTGAATTTCTGGAAAAAAATTTGAAATATTCCTACGTACATTTTCCACAAATTCATCATTGTGTTGGCATCATATTTTATATGTATCTTTTAAACAGATAAATAACTTACTTAGTCACATTATAAGCAATGAAGAACAACTTTTGACCACTAGAGAGAAGAATTTTACAAAAGAAACTGCATGCATGAATGGTAGTTTTTTTTAGAGAACAGAGGTTCACTGGGCTAGGTGAATTATCTACTCCTACTAGTAAATCAACCACATTCTAATCAGTTCCTGTTCTACATCTCTGAATCTCTGTCTACCTACTTTTGTAATCAGGGGCGTAACAAGAAATCCCAGGGCCCCATAGCAAAATGTTGTATGGGGCCCTGTGATTTCTAGTTACACCCCTTGAAGAGCCCACTTGAGATCCCACACAGCCCACCTGAGGGTGACCGTGCAGAGCCCACCATAGATTCTCTATGGTGGGCTCTGCAGGGTCCTGTCCGCCTCCTCTTCCTCCACAGTCACTGATGGGCCCCGCCTCCTCCTCCATCATCGGGCTCCGCCTCCTCCACTGCTGCCGACCCTTGGCCCCTGACTCAGCAGCGGCTGTGGAGAGGAACGCACCGCTGCACAAATCACTGTTAGTGATCTGAACAGCGGCGCATTCCTCTTCGCAGCCGCCAGTGACAGCCAGCAGCATGAGATGCCATAACAACCCAGGTGGCCCACACGGCATCAGGGATGTCCTGGCTGGGCCACCCTGTGTCCCGGGCCCCATAGCGGCCGCCTGGGTCGCTATGGCAATTGTTACGCCACTGTTTGTAATAGACATGTAAGCCAGCAAAAATGTGTTTAGTTTAGTTTAGTTTCAAATGATTTGTTATTTAGTTTTTCAAGTTTTAGGTGTAAAAGTCAATTTGTTTCGGCATTCGGGTGAGTTAAATGATAATTCGGAATGAAAATTCGTTTCCAGGGACCCCCTGGAAAAGCACCTTATCCTCATGCTAATGGAGACAGGGGCCACTTCCCCACAACCCTGGCCTGGTGGTTGTGGGGGTCTGCGGGCAGGGGGGCTCATCTCCATCTGGGTATTCCCTTTCATAAAAGGGGCACCCAGATGCTGACCCGCTCCCTTGTGCCTAGGGGTAGTTGTACCCCTACTCATTCACTGAAGAGTTAAATAAAATGTAAATAAATACAGAACACCTTAGCAAAAAATCCTTTAATTGAACAAAAAACACAACACAAGATTTTGACAATTATAAACAAAGCCTGCTATTGGCTATTTCAAATTAAAATAGCCAATAGCAGGCTGGCTATTGCTCCGCCCACTGCCTTTTGCCAATCCACAGAGGAGAGGACCTGAGAGTGTTTTTTCTTTGCATGCTGCTTTTTTTTCTTTTTTTGTTTCCACAACGCTGCCGCCCCCTCTGCGCCCATCCCGCCCCGGGCCTGAAGGTAGGTTGAAAGGGCCAATCATGGGTGTTTTCTTATGTGCCAGCCCCCCCCCCCCCCCAATAAGCTTTTGTTTAGCATGTGTTGGAAGACACATTTACAGGGATAGCTAGCTGCCGCTATTTTCTGACAATTATATTCTCATTTAATCACAGGCACACTCAGAGTGTATTGGACAGTCCTGTAGCAGATTAGGGGAAGATTAAAAAAGTGTTTCCAGGGAGAGTTTGTAGCTACTGGTGAATCCTGAAAACTTCTATTTGCGTCCCTGTTAACGCACAGACACCATTTTTTGCACGTTACTTTTTGTCATTTTGTGTGCCCCGGTCGCAGACCGTGACATATATTTACACTGAGTCACTGTGTGTTGGACAGTCCTGTAGTGCATTAGGTGTGGGGACTGTTGAAAAAGCAGCAAAGTCAGAGCGTGTAAAGACTGTGTACATACACACTACAATATTTTGGGGAATATTTTAGTTAAATAAGTACACTC